CACAACTTAAAGGAAACCGAGAAAGATGAGAGTCAGGTTATGATTAAGGATTATTTATTTCCCTTGACTAGAGTACTTATATTCTCTTCTTGGGTACCTTCTTCCTGATACCTAGGAATTGGAGAAACAGAATTTGTAAGGTTTTATGAAAATGAAATGACACCGAAAGAAGTTGCATAGTGTTTGTGGGGCATTTCAATTGAGCTGGATAAATTTTCCTGCCCCTTCATATAACTCACATTTCTTGCCATTGAAATAGATGCACCCTCAGATAGACGTATTCGGGCTTTCCTAGAGAAATCTCTTTGCACTGGTTCTCCTCTCCCTGATGACCAGAGACAAATTATATGTTACAACTCTTTTTACATTGACTTAAATTTTAGTTGCCTAATGGGATTTCAGAGCCCCTCAAAATGATGCAGGCATTCTGGGATTTGGGGACCTGAAGGTCCATGATCCATGGTGGGTTCTTGGCTTTGCATAAAACACAAGTCAGCATAGACTTTAAAGCGAAAGACTGTTTATTAGGGAAGCAGTGATGTAGAGAGTGGCTATTCCCTGGTGGGATTTGCTTCTTTTATTGAGGCTCATCTAATCAAGGGGTAGAGCATTCAATAAGGGGGAGGAATATTCAGGATTTTCCCAGGAAAGTGGTGGAGACTTCTTGGAAGAGCCCTGTTGGCTATGTTGTGTCCTTATATGGACTTTCTTTTTCTAATTGTGGTGGTGTGGGGTGCGTTGTTTAGTATGGTAATGTATTACAGTGAACGTATAACGAGGCTAGGGGTTATTGCCAGGTAAAATTAGTTGCCATGTTGGATAGAGCTGGTCTTCTGACAGTTGTAAATCATAAATCCATTCGGGGCTGGTCATACTAGCTCCATGATAGTCCTTGTAGCTCTGTATTGATTACAGCCTGGATATCCTATCACAAATCACATTTATTACTTATTTATAAAATCTCTTTTAGGGATGGGTTATATACTCTGAGGGCTAAACTCTTATATTTTATATTAAATTTGTATTGGGTTCAGAAAATAATGTTTTCTGATTTAGTCCTCAAATTTTGAAGGTATTTTTTTAAAAAAATATTTTTATTGATTTCAGAGAGGAAGGGAGAGGGAGAGAAAGGTAGAAACATCAATGATAGATAATTATTGATTGGCTGCCTCCTGCATGGCCCCTACTGGGGATCAAGCCTGCAACCCCGGCATGTGCCCTGATGGAATCAAACCGTTACCTCCTGGTTCATAGATCGATGTTCAACCACTGAGCAACACTGGCCAGAAAAACCTATGAATTTTTTTTAGGGTCCATGAGACCTTTTGAAAACAGGGTGAGGGGATGGGTGAAAAAGGTGAAGGGGAATATAACAATAATATTGTGATAAATTTTCAGGGTGACAGATAATTACTAGAATTGGCATGGTGATCACATTGTAAGGTATATAAATGTCAAATCACTATACTGTACACATGAAACCAATATAATATTGTATATGAACTATACTTAAAAATTGGGAAAACAAAAAACAACAACCCCTAAAACAAACCAAAATAGAAAAAAGTTCAAGGGAGTAAACCAGGATTACTTATCCATAATTTTAATCTAACAGGAACTATTTTTCTCTAAGCCACAGGAATTCAATGATGACCTACTGTGTGACCAGTGCTGTGTTAGAAGTCTCAGATAATGTCCCTGCAAGAAACAGTCATTTTAATCAGTAATGTCTGACATCTACTAAATGGTCCACATACCATGCTGTATAACATAGACTTCAATACTTTATCTCCAATTTTCACAACAGTCCTGAAATGTTTCTCATCCACCTTATTCTGATCAAGAAACTGAGGCTTATTTGGTTAAGTGACTTGCCCAGTGTCTCAGAACTATAACATCCAGGATGCAAATCTTACCCTATTGGAATCTGAAGCCCAGAGTATTTCCACCCCCCACCCCCACCTCCAGCATTATGCCTCAAAGAATCCAAATACAGGGCAGAATGGAAGTCTGCTGGGCCTAGAGAACAAAGAACTAACTTTTCTTTCTTTCTTTCTTTCTTTCTTTCTTTCTTTCTTTCTTTCTTTCTTTCTTTCTTTCTTTCTTTCTCTTCCTCCCTCCCACCCTCCCATCCTCCCTTCCTCCCTTCCTTCTTCCCTCCCTCCCTCCCTCCCTTCTTCCTTTCTTTCTTGTCTACCTTTCACTAAGCTTTTCTATATATGTTGTAGTAAGAGAATGTGGAGATTTTCTTGTTCAAAATATTACCTCTGTTACATTTTTTTCAATTACAATTGACATTCAATATTATTTTATATTAGTTTGGCTGCACACCTGTATTACTTTTATGGCTAGGCCCATTCTCCCACCCCCGCTCCCTCCCCCATTCTCCTCCTCCTTCTTCTTTTGGCTTAATCTACATTAATCTCCAATTTTAGTGAAAGGGCTTCTGCATTAGATGATGGTTCTGCTCAGGGGTTTTTGTTTTGTTTTCCTTCAGGAGACAGCCAGTCACACCAGCTAATATTTCACATCAGGTCTCATGTTTTTCATTTTATGAGAAGGTAATAATATTGCATGACATAAAAGGAACATGATGACTAGATGTTAGCATCACATAATTGCATTCTAGCTTTCATTTTCACTTGAAACAAGTTGCATTTGAGAAGAATGGAGAGGAAGTTCTGCTCAGGGGTTTTGTTTTTCTTTAGGAGACATAGCCAGTCACACCAGCTAATATTTCACATCAGCTCTCATGTTTTTCTTTTTATGAGAAGGTAACAATATGGAATGGCATAAAAGGAACATGATGACTACATGTTAGCACCACAAAATTGCATTCTAGCTTTTATTTTCACTTGAAACAAGTTCCATTTGAGGAGACTGGAGAGGAAGAATGCTTTGCTAGAGGCAACTAATGTCCCCATAATGGAGAGCTGGGTTGTAGACCAGCTTCACAGATGGTTTCCTTTCTTATTCTTATTTTCACTAAATTAGAAAAGCTTACATTGCAATTAGAAGTAGCAACAAGTGATTGAAAACTCTGTCTAGTAGTTCTGGATATGGTAATCATATATGGACATAAAAATTGGGGAGATTTCTCGCTAAAGGCCACGTCCAGTGTTCTGTCATAACTGTGTCCACTTGGCTGGAAGGTTGAGTATTTCATCTTAGGACTGTGAACATTCTGTGAGCGGAAGCACATAATTACCCAACTCTGTCTGACATGTGACATACACTCAGTAAATGAGCTTCACAATTACTGTGATTGTTTTCAGGTATTTTGAACTCTGGACTATCCCAGACTTTCATTTCATAGTGTAATACTCTTGCAAACTCTTGGTTTCTTCTTTATTCTTCTCCCTTATAAATCATCAGCTTTTATTCACAAAGTAGGGATAGGTTCTGGATATTTGAATTACTGAATATATGGCAGAGCCACCATTCAAAATCAAAGAAGTAGTCTTCATTTGCATTATGAGCATCATAGCATATCTTTTCATTGTATTCATCGTTTCATATGCAAGCACCATCATAGTCAATGTCCTTCATGGGGAGAACAGTCTTCTTGTCACTTATTTCTCTGCCTGGCACCCTGGAGGGGCAGGGTCAGAGGCTACTATCTTCACCGCTAAACCAAGAGCAGAGGACACGTTATTGACCACCAACTGGCCCCTGTGAATGAAGTTGGGGGATGGTTTTCAAAAGGGACAACTACTTTTATGTGAGCAACGACATCTTTGCTGCACATGGAGTTGGTGCCTCCTCAGTACTGGTCTCCATGCATCCTGCTTCACAAAACACACAGTAATTTAATAAAGCCTCCTTTCTCCTGGAGCATGGGTTTTCAGGGGGTAACTGGAACAAGATGCTGCAAGCAGGTGTCTCTGTAGAGCATGCTTGCTAGTTCCCCAGTCCCCACTCTGCCCCTCAGAGGCTGTATCTGTATGGCATGTTGACCAGCACACCAGGATCTCCCCACTGTGGTGCACAGGTTTTAGGTGGTTTCCAACAGTCCTTTGATGAAGAAATTTTGCTATCATTTTGTTCTACTTTCTCCGTGGACATAGCGTTTGTGATTAATTTTGTAGGTAGTTTTAGATGCTTCTCATAAATGATGGGGCTTTTGCCTATTTCCTAGTTGTTCTGGTCTCTTTCATTTTTGGTGACAAAATTACTAGTAATTGAATTTATGTCATAAAAAGTTTTTTCCCCCTGTGTGTGCCTGTTCTGAAAACATTTGAGGTTTTATTTGAAGATAAGTGGAAACTGATGCTTCATGCCATAATCTGACCAGGTTTTATAACAGACACTGAGACCAGGGCCAAACGGATTGTTGAGCCATGAAGACCTAATTTTCAAACACTCATCACTGCATTTCCTTTCATTTTCATTTTTGGGTGAAATCAATATACTCACAGAATCAGTTGACCTGGAACATACATTCACACTTGAGTCCTGGTCATGATTTATATTTATGATACTGTTTGGAGTTATGCTATTCACATTATTATTTATATAATTACTGTTTGGCATGGGTGAACCCCTTTTGTGATTTGGGGCTGTGACACAGCACAATAGTAGAACAAAAATACAAACGTAACAACAAACAATGAAAATAGGTGCATGTTGACAAATTGCAGACTGTTCATGGAATGCTGGCAGAAGTAAACCACATAACTACTATTGAGAGTTAATAGGATTTTTATGAAAATCATAATTGCTTATATTTCAAATCTGTGCACACAATGGTTTTAACTTTTCTTTCCCCTTGAAGCCACCAAACCCCAGGGACCACTCTAACATTTCCCTATGGGCTTTGATGAGAACTTTTCTGAAACAGAATGGTATGGGTAGGAGGAGACTGGCCCCTAGTGAAGTTTAAAGAGAACAAAAATCAGAAATTGAAGAAACACCAGGTTGTGGCTTCTAGTTTGTGGAACCAGAAATTCAAGCTATGTCCTTATAAGTGTTTCTATTTCTTCTTTCTTTGTATCTTACAGAGTAAAAGCCAAGGATCCATCTTTGTCCGGATACATGCCCCGTGGCAGGTGCTGGCCAGAGAGGCAGAATTCTTGAAGATCAAAGTTCCCACCAAGAAAGTATGAACATGTTTCTTCTGGGGTTAAGGTCCTCCTAAGGGCTGGATGAATGTGAATAATTGGGGAACAGGGTCATGTGGGACATGGGTTTTGTGGAGGTGAAATCACACTTACCTCCCCAAGGACCCTAAGTATGGGGAATGATGTGGGTGGGACAGGAAAAGAGTTGGGGGCGGGGAGAGGGGCTGGATTTGGCGATCTTTTCACCTCAGAGCTCCACCTGGAATGGGCTCCATGAGAAGCCAGATATTACCCTGATCTAGCTTCTTGATTTCTTCTTTCTTCCTCTTCTTGGGGTCCCAACACAACCAGGCATTTTTTTCAGAGTGAATGTAACAATGAGAAGAGACAGCAACCCATGATGATTGGGTCAGCAGCATGCAGGGAAAACTGCACCAAACGTGCTGTGAATATTCTGGTTGTGACTCTGCCACTAAGTATTGTGTGTGATGGGCTTGGCTCATCTCTTTTGTAAAATAGAAGATTCCTCATCAGAAGAGTTGGTCAAAATTATTTGGGAATACTTTCAAAGTGTTCATACCAATGTCTCATCTTGTGATTTTGATTTTGTTGGTTGGTGTGGAATGAGGAGCTGGTGTCAATATTGTGAAAAATATCCCCAGGAGGTTGTCATCCATATCTGGGTTGAGAGCCACACAGTTTAGATGATTTTTAAGGTCCCTTTTAGCTGATATAGTCTATGTATAATTTAGAAACCTTCTCAGGGAATTCCTAGGTGACAGTCTTCTTGTAAAACAAAATCCAGCAAACACCTCACACCTCCAAAAAGAAAGGAAACATGGCCACAGATTCACCATTCCCTTTTTTAAAAAATTAGGCATTTTAGGGGAAATGGGTGGTTATTGGCCTTGACCATTTGAGATGGCTCTAGGAAGGGTCCTGGGGCAGATAATAATCTAGTTTAACCATGAGTGATCTATTGATGATCTATCTCTTTATCTGTCTCTGTTTCTGTCTCTGTCTCTGTATCTTTGACACACACACACACACACACACACCTATAGTGTCATTCCACAAGTGGTGGCCAAGCTTTGCAGAGATTATTTTTATCATTCTAACTACCATAATTCCCACCCTCCCAATATTTGTTGCCTTCTATACTACCATTATTACCTGCCTATATCACCATCTCCGCTATCATTAGCATCCTTATAGTCAGCAACACCATTCTGATTAGCATTATTGGCTATGTTTACATCTTCACTACCAACAGATTTACAATTCCCATCAAAAATCACGTATCAAAACACACACACACACACACACACACACACACACACACACACACACACACACAAAAGAAAAAAGAAAAAAGAAAAAATCACTCATCAAGTACCATCATGTGGGATGCCATTATGAACTACTCAAGAAGGATAAAGTCTGGGGGTTCTGTTTTTACAGGTTTATTAAGATGGATAATACCTCCATGGCAGGTGGACACATGACTATTAAACAAGGAACAAACATAGACATGAATATTGGCTACAAACTTCTGCTAATGAAAAGGTCAATGTTTTGGGGTCACATGTCTGAAAGTCTTGGTTTCATAAGGACCACACTGTGATCTTTCCCCCCTTAGTTGTACTACTGCGTTCTTTGTCTCCCCGTTTTAAACCTTTCAATCCTTTTACTGCTGTCCTCGAATGTGATGTCATCTTTGTTCTAGATCTCTGCTCCTCCTCCATTGATGTTCTCCCAGTCTGCTGGCAACAGGACCCAAGCCTTAGCCTTAGATAGAGGCTTCTGCTTACCTCCGCTGGTGTCCTAACATGGCCAACCCCTTTTTCTTCTCTTTCTTCTAACTTCAATATATATTTTTTCTTCTCCTTTCTCTGGTTTATCTGAATAATGTTCTGTTAATCTCATTCTATTTGTATCTTGCTTCCTATGTTTTTATCTTTTGCTGGCTGATCCACGGAAAGAAGGTGAGCAAAACTCTAATGCCCATGCTACTGCTTCTGTCCCCAGAACGATCCTTTTAGCAAGAAACCTAGAGACATAGAAAAAGTGTATATCCTTCTTCAGTTTTTTTCTCTTTACCTCTCTTTCTTCTTTGCTCTCCATCTTTCTTTTACTCCCATGCTTTTCCTTTCCTTCTTTTCTCTTCAACCTCTCTCTTCTGATGCCTTCTCCTAGCTTCCCTCTCTGTTCTTTGAACACCCTATCACACCTCTCGTTTTTCTATCACTTTCTTTTTTTCCTCAGTCCCAGACTCAGTCCCCAAGTAGTGCCAGCCTCTGATCCCTCTCGTCTCTGCTTGTCCTTTCACAAGCTCATACCTTTGAGAGCATATCTTCCCTCAGAGTTTGTATGCCCCCAAACATTTATCCTATTGGAACTTCCCATCTATAGTTTAGGTGGTACTTGCACTTGAATTTGTAGAAAGGATAATTAGGACAAGGACATATTATAGCCATCTCTTAGTTTCCCTCCTTTTTTATTTTTGCATTTATTTTTCGTAATTCAAAAATATGTTTAACATATAACCTGGTATAAATTTGAGTTGTACAAAATGTTAATTTGATGCATCTAGCTATTGTAATATGATTGCCATTGTAGCGATAATTAGCAACTCTATCATGTTACATAACTTTTTCTTTCTTTTTTGTGGTTGGAATAATTAAGTTCTAGTCTCTTAGCAAGTTTGATGATTATAATATAATATTGTTGTCCATATTCTACTGTGCATTGGATCTCTAAGGCTTATGTACTATTTGTTGAAAGTTTCATCCTTGAACAACACCTAACCTATTCCCTTCCCTCTATTTCCTGGTAACCAACAATTCACTCTCTGTTTTCACAAAAGTTTAGATTTTTAGATTCCATGCATAAGTGATTTCATACAGTACTTTTCTTACTCTGACTTATCTCACTTAGCATAGTGTCTTCAAGTTTCATCCATGTTGTTGCAAATGGCAGGATGTCCTTCCTTCTCATGGCTGAATACTATTCCATTGTGAATATACAACACATCTTCATTAGCCATTCATGCGTTGATGAGCACTTTGGTTATTTTCCACCCCTTCTTCCTTTTAATTTTGGGAGACACTACACTAAACAATCCTCAGAAGACCAGACTTTTAGCCTTGGTTCTGTACTTACTTGCTATATGATTTGGGGGTGTCACTTCATCTTTCAGAGCCTCAGTTTCTTCACATGTGATATGGGCATAATAATACCTGCCCTATTTTTCTTAGAAGGCCATTGGAAGAATCCAATTCTTAACCAGTGCTATGGAAATACAGGAATTTGTTATTGTGTCTGTGTTCTCAAGTCTTTTTATGTATATTCTCAATTCCTAGTCCCCCAATCAATGTCCCTCCTGACCCAATAGGCAGACAACACTGATGGAATTATCACAGTAGGAGAGTCTTTGGAGAGACCCTGAAGGGCACAGAAATAATCCATGCACTCAGAAAGCTATAGTCAAAGGAGCAACAGGAAGAATGCACATGCCCAGAATCAAAACACTAGTTAGATGGTGTGTCAAACAGCGAGTCATTAGCACAGGACAGATTCTGCATGGAAACATGGTGAACCAGGGAGTCGGGAGAATAAAGCCAGATGGTGGCTCCTACAAGGCTCCAGGTATAATAGAAAGAACTTCTCCCAAAGTTTCTGGGCCCCAGATGTGACACAGGTGGACTGTTCTGGCATCCTTCTATGGGTTCAGTCACATGACGCTGATCTTTGTATTCATAGCAATGCAGTGGCTTGTTGTTGACCTTACAGGGGGTATCATAACCAGGAGACTGGAATATAACCTGGTATGCTGGGGAGGATGCATATGTTTTTAAAAATTATTCTGAGACCTGATCCCAGGGGTGGTGGTGGGGATTAAATCTAGTTCCTGAGATGAGAAATGAACATGGAGGGGAGGATGAGACAGGGAAGTCTGTGGAGGGTCAGTGTTGGGTCCAGTGACACTCTTGTCCTTTTTAAGTGGGTCTGGGAAGTGACTGCAATGAGAATAAACTACATTTGCAGAGAGCCACATCCTGGCGGCTGGGGAAACGTGGAAGAAGGCTGAGGCATGGTATAGGTATGGGATCATCTAAGCATCTTCCAGGCTAGTGGAAGTTTGTGTCATAACTCAGCGGGCTCTGGAGAGACCAGGAAGATGGGGAGGAAATCACGAAATCGAGATCTCAAACCTGGACAAATCCATAGTAATGTGTCCAGGGACTCAGAGTCCTGAGCACAGATATTAATTGGGAAGGGGAACCTTGGAAGGAAGCATTTGTTTTCCAAAAACAACAACAAGAGAGCCAGCATTTTGTGAGGGACACTCATTCATGTACAGAAAGAGGGTGGGAAGGCCTGGCCTTTGGCCCCGAGGAGCCTGGGAAGGTTTGAAATGGTTGTTTTCTCATTTCTGCTTATTACCAAGGTGGCCTTTCTAGACTGTGGTCAATGTCTATGTTTATTTCTCATTCACTTTCATATGTATGAATGGCTACCCCCCTTTCTCACCTCTCACATTCACTTACGCTCCAAGTGCTGCCTGCAGCAGAGACAAGGCCAGGGATGGACAAGGGGGAGTAACCAAGTCTATTCTTATCAATGAAATCATTTTAACCCAGCCACTAAACTAAGAAGAAGTGACATGCCTAGAATGGGGGGAAATCACTTTTATTCAATCTGGCAAAGCTTTTGTTGCTATTCTTAATAGAGTGAGTAATATCAAGGGGTCATGCATGCTGTTCCCAGGAGCCTATGAGGACTTTAGCTTTTAAGTCCTTCCCATGCAAGCAGATGTCATTAACTTCGAGCAAGTCATACCTTCGTAGGCTCAGAGCTCCCCTCATCTCCAAACCGGGAATAATAAATGTCAGTAAGGGCTGTTGTAAGGAGCAGTGACGATATATTTAGGATGCCTAGCATAGAGGCACGTGCAACACAAAGTAACTGCTATTACTACTGTTGTTGGTATTATTGTTCATATGCGATGTGTGTCGGGCAGCACAGTTGGCACCAGAGCTGGGCTGCTGCTTCCTGCTATTTCCCTTCACAGCCAACATCTGTATTGTTGTGTGGAAAACAGGCCCAGTCCCTTAAATCTGCCGAGGAAGCCAGAAGCCCAGACATGGAATCAGTGGAGAGGCGGGAGCAGATGGCCTTTGGGCTCTGTGCTGGGGGATTTCTGTTTCCTATAGCATGGGTCCTTGGGGTGTTCGCAAACATAATGGCTCCATGTGCACGGCCTGTGATGCAGTCACTGGGAAAGCCAGCAGGCCCCACAGCATGGGAGAGACAGCTTAAAGGCGCCCATTTCAAAGGATCGATAGCAGGTGTGACAAGTAGAGACCTCAAGTTCCACTGCTGGCTCTGCCCCCATGAATCTGGGATTATTTGATTCATATCTTTGCCTATTTCCCCAAACAGGACTTGAGATGGAGTACAACCAAAAGCATAAACACAAATGGAGCATTTAAAAGAAGGACACATAAAAAAGAAGTATGTAACTGAGGGGGAAGTAGGGAGGTATAGAGAAATAATGGTAATTGAAATAGAAAATCAGGGTAGTTAATGCAAGTGAGACAATTTTCATTCTGAGTTTCCAGGTAGCCAAGGCAGAAAGGACTGTAGCTTATATATCTACCCTGCTCTGTTTTGTCAGAGGAGGCAAACTTTGTCCTGCTGTTAAAACATAATTGTTAGGTAAAAGTTGTGAATAATATAAGGGGCATATTTTCAGTGATGAGTTCATATAAGGTTCTGGAATGGTCTTTGTATAACTTTTATTAATTGGTTCTGGATAAAATCTGAGAATGTAATGTTGAACTGTAGTTCAGGGAGGGTTGTATTATAAATAATATAGGTAAATTTCTGATGAGCTAACTTGATTAAAAGATAAAGGTTAGAGCAGAAGTACCAACCATATTTTAATTCTCTCCATAAAATCCATGTTTTGGAATAGTTTAATCTACTAAATTGCATTTATTAAGGAATAATTCATCTTCCTTTTTCATTAACTGAAAACACATATAACTGTCACTAAGAATTTTCTGATCAGTGTGAGAAAATTGGTGGTATCTTGCTGAACCAATATAATTCCAGTTAAAAAGCAAAGAAATGACATGTTAGTTAACCTCAATGGCCCCTTAAGGGGAAAATATTAATTCCATTAAGCTTTGTCAATTATTGGAAGTCATTCTCAGATGCCTATTACTGCCTCTCTGGAAATTCTGATTTGGTAACTGTGGCTTTTGCAAAAGTTCCACAGGAAGAGCCTCCCCCTAGCTCATGGTGCCCACCCTGCTTCAGGGACTTGGCCTGGCCAGGATTGCAGCATCTCTTGTTTCTATTCAGATATATATAATAAAAAATTGATCCAAGTGATTTTGGAGGCTTAAGAAGTCCCAAGGTTTGCAATTGTCAGTCTGGAGACGTAGGAGAGTCAATGGTGTGAGCTCCAATCAAATGCTGGCAGGCTCAAGACCCAAGAAGAGCCAATGTTTCAGTTTGAGCCCAAAGGCAGTATAAGATCAATGTCTCAGTTCAGCAGGCAGGCAGGAGGAGTGCCCTCTTACTCATGGGAAAGTCAGCCTTTTTGTTCTGTTTAGGCCTTCACCTGATTGGATGAGGCCCACCAGATTAGGGAGGACAATCTGCTTTACTCAGTCTATCCATTCAAATGTTCATCCTATTAAAAAACACCCTCACTGACACACCCAGAATATCTGGGCGCTGCATGTCCCAGTCCAGCTGACATAAAATTAACCATTGCAAGGCTTGTACTTTTTAAAAAAAATATATATTTTATTGATTTTTTACAGAGAGGAAGGGAGAGAGAGTTAGAAACATCGATGAGAGAGAAACATCGATCAGCTGCCCCCTGCACACCTCCCACTGGGGATGTGCCTGCAATCAAGGTACATTCCCTTGTCCAGAATCGAACCTGAGACCCCTCAGTCCGAAGGCC